GCGACTGATCTGCCTTGCCCGGGAAGAGCGCAATGATGGTGCCAACTTGGGCCAGTGAAGCAACGTCCTCCACAACTAGATTGAAGAACAAAAACGACAGCAACGTGTCTGTTCCCCTTCCCCCAATTCCCCAGCACTGTTCCCATCCCCCCAATTCCTCAATAAAAATCTTAAAAAAAAACAAACAAAAAAAAAACGCAAGAGCCTAACCATTGCCATAAAAAAAAAAAAATACGAACTCCTTTAGCTTGTTAGGTGGTATTTTACATGCAAAGGGAAATGAAGACTTTCCCAATATGTGGGGAAATAGTACCTTTTGACTTAAGTTATTATTCCTTCCCTTTGCATCTACAGGAAGGTGCCCTAAACGTCATCCTATGCATTGTACCAAATATATTGTTTGAGCATCCATGTTGAAAGATACACAAGGGATGCCTAGGAAAAAGCAAGATGTTTTCAAAGTGAACAAGATACATAAGAACAATGGCCAGAGGAAGGCCTGGGAACAGCAGCTTGGATTAGATAAGGACTAAGTTGATCCTTTGAGATTCATATGAAACTGAAATATGCTTTGAAGGGAGATTTTTTTCAAGCTCACATGTTTACAAGTCTGAGAACTGTTTGATACAGCAAACAGATGCAATTAAGGAGGTAACTACATACAGTACTGAATTTCATGTGGGACTAAGTACATTTAGAGAGTAACAAAAACCAGAAAAATTTTTGCTCAAAATAAGATGTTATTCATTAAAAAAAAAAAAACACCTTGTAGAGCTAATTGGGTAGTGCTCTGCTATGGTCTGAAGCTAACCTCCAAGTATGTTGGTTTTGGGGCCTCTTGGGAGGGACTCTGGTGCAGGCCTAGGTCAGCCATTGTCTGTCACTGTCCAAGGGCTACCTGATAGGAGCTACCAAGTGACCCGTGATTGTTTGCTGCCTGAGCTAAACCTGGAGGTGCGTGGGAGAGGCCATGTTGCAAACCGAGGACGTCTGCCACCAGTACCAGGCCTGGGGTAATTCCACAAAAAGCCAGGACACCCCAAGGCCTGTTGCCACCTGCCAACTCCCTTAAGGTTCAGCCACTGATAAAGCCTGGTTTGGTGGGCGTGAATTGGGTCAGGCCGAATCTCAGCTGAGTCAGCAGGGCAGAGCAGCAGAGCTCACCAGGCCAATCAGATTCAGGTTTGGCCTGTGGGGACGGGCTACACATAGGAAAGATGGCGCCTGCCTGCCGGCTGCACAGGAAAAAGACCCTCCACTGAGAAAATGCCAACTGTCCTCCACTTCTCCCTCTGCAGCCACACGCCTCAGTCTGCTCCACATATGTCTCCAATGCCCCCAAGTCACCATCCCTCCGCTGGAGCCCCAGGTGAGTGCCTGCAAGCGGGTGAGTCTATGCATGGGCAGTTCAAGAGGACCTCTGGTCCCACAGCCTTCTGTCCCACCCAAATGGTCAGAATCTCCTCTTTTTTCATAGCCAGATATTGTAAGGGCTCCTCTTCCCAGCACCAATACTCTAGGCTGGGAAGCCTGGTGTAGAGAGGTCTGGGATCCCTCGCTCCTACTGGGGGAACCTCACAACTGAGATATCTCTTCTGATTCTCAACTGCCACAGGGAGGTTTGGGCCTGTTCCGCATCTCTGCTCCTCCTACCAGTCTCGACATGGCTGCTTCTTTATATTTTTAGTTATAGGACTTCTGTTCAGCTCGACTTCAGATGGTTCTCCAAGTTGATTATTCTATAATTTAGTTGTAACTGTAATGTGTTCATGGAAGGATGCACAGTGTTTATTCCACCATCTTGAGTCTCTCAATATTAATAATTTTTAAAACATGCATTGAAAATATAAAGAATAAAATATTCAGCTAAATTTTAAAGTATTTTAGTTAACATTGAGTTTTTAACATTATGATGACATTTTAAGAATTACATATTCTTAAAAATCAATGTTCTATTAACTTTTTAACTTGTCTTTAAAAATATCAGTACCAGAGTTTCTCATTAGCCTTGAAGAAGAATTTTTACATATATTAGAGCCATGTCCACCTGACACTTTATAGATGCATTTCAGTTCTAACTCACACAACTGTTGAGCTTAGAGAGCAGCTAAGGAGATTTTTTTTTTTAAGATTTTTATTGGGGAATTGGGGGAAGGGTAACAGACAAGTTGCTGTCCTTTTATTCTTCAGTCTAGTTGTGGAGGACATTGCTTCACTGGCCCAAGTTGGCACCATCATTGCACTCTTCACGGGCGAGGCAGATCAGCCGCCGGCTTCTGGATGGCCACTGACGGCGGTTTGCTGGCCGCTCACGCTGGCTGCTGGCTACACACGGTAGCCCATGGCAGCCCACTGCCACAGGGGCTGCAGCCTACACTGTCGCCGGCAACTCATGGCAGCCCAGCTCCAGGTTGAGCTGTTGTTCAGCATCTTAGCTGTAGAGGGCAGTGTCACTGGCCCTCATATGTGGGATCCGAAGCAGGGT